CTTCACATCCTGAAAGAACACAGCACATAAAAAAGATTGTGTATGGTGTAGTAATAATTCTTGAAAATATTCACATAAGAGTGAGAGAACTGCATAATCTGGCAAATTATTCCTCCAGACTTACAATTCAATTACTAAAGAAAATTTCCTGATATTTCCTAATCTACATCTGCTTACTTCAACAGTATATTCATAAACTTGAGGTCACTCTGTTCTTTTCTAGTAAAGAATACATGATACAAAATCACACTTGACTTTTTTGAGTCATAAGCTTTATCATCAATAACAATCAAGATGCTACTTAATAATTTGCATAATTTAGCAACTTTCACTTGGCTCCTAATTTTATTAAAGCAAGTGTACAAAATATATCTAAAATTGACTATAAATATGTAATTACATTTATATATTATAACTGGTCTCACTATAGGTTTCTGTTTTGGGGATACAAGTTGAAGTTTCATCAGATGCTCATCATTTATCCTTGTGTCACACTAGCTGAATGAAGACTCTAGGACTTAGCAAGGACCATTCTTATAACGGCATCCCAAAGAACTGTACCAAACATGACTTGAAGACTTTCAACAATAGCAACAACTAAAATTGGTAGCAAAAATGAAAAGAAAATAATGACATAATGAAGATGTTGACATTTAAAAAAAAACAAAAAAGTTAGGAAGAAAGCCCCTATCAATACTGGAAAGAGTGATAACAACTAGTGAATTTGAGAAACTTATTTTCCTCAAACAGCTATTTTAATACAATTGTTTTTATAGATTTCATTTGATGATGACACTGGTTGATTGGTCAGTGAATACTGAATATTTCTTTATAAAGAAATGGCTAATATTGTGGAAAGAATGCCAGATATTTTTAGTATTAATTATCAGAACTTCAGAAATAAAACAAAATAATTCAAAAGACAAACAAATAATATATATTTAATTATTTGATCGATATTGGAGCGAGTCTTTTGATATTCTGTGTAGCAAAATGTTCATTTGTTAGTCAGATCTTGGTAGCAGTCAGTAGAAAGTCTGTTTCAGCTTGGTAGTTGACAAAGCAAAAGTCAAACCTTGGTACTAGGTATCATCTTAGAAATAGATACAGTGTCAATTTGCTGTCCTTTCTTGGCTGTGAGAAGGGAGGTGAAAATGACTTAAACAGATGGCCAATTAACTTCTTCATGCAACATACATGGTTGGTTTCTCTGGTTGTCCCTTCTCTTGGTCAGATTTCTCTGGCAATCACTTCTCATCTTCTACCACTTGTTGGTCTGTATATATCCTTTTTGACTAGGCTCACAGACTAATGGCGCAACGTTTGTTTTTGGCTAACATCAAAAGTCTCTTTATGTTAATTTTTTTGACTTGCCAAAATTATCTTATTTTCCAGCATTCCTTTCTTTATCATTTTTTTAAGGCAGAAGTTATGCATGGGGGTCTGCCTTATTTTAGTAGATTCATAGTCACAAGATTCTAGACTCTGGTCCTGCAAACTGCTGCCATTTTTTGGCTGTGTTCGGTCTTTTCTTTTTCCTTTTCTTATTTGAGTGTTTCCTTCTCATTAGTTGAGAGAGAAGTATAGAGAAGAAAAGAAAAAGAGATACGGGTTTTAAAGAAAAACAAATACCTTATTTTAATATCTGTCTATATTTTTGAGATGAGATATTATGTACACTATTTACATTATTCGAACTATTGTCCTTAAGAACACATAGCACAATGGATAAAGGCATTAGTTAGATCCCGTAACAGGGCCCAAAGAGTCGTGAGTTCAATACCTGATTAAGGCAGTGGAGAACTTGGAGAGGTGAATTAACAGGAGATAACTGATAGCTGACATTCATTAGACGTGGCACAGGGAACTAGGATAGTCTACACCAGCAAATGAAATAAAGAGTTCAGTTTGACATTCCAATCACCTGAGGAAGGTCGGAGCGTACAATGGCTGAAATGTTGGGATAAATATGGTAACAAAGATGAGGACAATAGCCTTATTTTTAATTTGGATTCTTTTTGTGTAGATATTTTATTTTCATATTACTTTTTTTTGGGACTCATTACAATATTACCATAACAATTTACATAATAATTGGAAGATATTCATCTTCTGCTAATAAGCAATAACTTGGAGAATTTTTAAAAATTAATATATAAATACGTTTAATAAATATGGATATATTTTATCAATAATGTAGATACATATAACAGAAACCAAAGTCACTTGTCAGACTCTCATATGGATATCATGCATGATGCAAAACTCATTCAGAATAATTGCATCAGTTAGCTGCATATCAGAGTTTTCTCAGATCAATAGTTAAAAATGGTTTTAAATGAATGAAGCATGTAGGTCTTAGCATGGCTTGTTATTCTTCAAGCCATTTGAAATAGTGCTGCAGAATCACCAACCGTGATCTGTACCAAATAACGGAAACCACATCACTTGAGGACTTTCAACTGCAGCAGCAACTAAAATGGATAGCACATTAATTCAAAGAAAAAATAATCACACAATGAAGGTTAGGAATAAAGCCTCTATCAATACTGGAAAGAATGATAACAGTAGACTTGAGAAATCTATTTTCCTGAAAAACTATTTTAAGAGAAAGATTTTATAAATTTAGACAGAAAGTAACATTGCCGGCTCAGTCAATGCTGCAGCCTGTCAAATGTTTCCTAATAAGGAAACAGCTAATAATACCATAGTATGTATGATATTTTACACTATATAGCCAAACAAGTGAACTCATGAACACTGAATGTCTAAGTTTGCTTAACAATTTATTTTGTACACCAATTTGGTGGTAGGAGTCCTAAACCTGTCACTTGTCTGTATCTTCAACTCAGCCAGAGTATATGTAATGTAATTAGATGGTGTACGTTTTTAGCCTTAGGCGTAATGTTCTTTACTGCTTAATTAAAGTCTCCCATATGATGTTCATTTCTATGCTAGGCCTACTGAAGAGGTTATTAGCACTTAGCGTGTGTACTGATACTTTTGATTAGCTTATTTTCTAGTTTGTGTTCTCTATTAATCTTGGTTCATTCCACAGGGGTTGATGATTCTACTTTTGCATCCACCTATTATCAACCACACGAAGGAGGATACAATGCTCAAAATATGGTGACAGTAAGAACCAAGATGAGGAAACCAGTTTGAAAAAACTAGTTACATTTTTTATCATTTTACTCCAACCAAGGCAATAAAGCCACTAAGACAGTGGGTTCAGTCAGTTATGTGCTATATGTGATACACGTTAGGCAATCATGTATCTTTCAATACATAACTGATGTGGCAGATTTTTTACCTGCAGTAGGTTGCCATTTCTTTCTACAGTAGACCAGTTGCCAGACAAGGCTATAGAATCTGGTCTGTCCTGCTATTTATCCATAAATGGGGGGAGAAGAAAAGGAGTCATACCATTTCCAGGGGTATTAGCACATAAATGAATGTAATGGATTTGACTGGAATTCGAACTCGGTTCTCTGATTCCTCAATCCGAGCTGCTATCCATTACTCCATCGTACTGAGTGTTAAAATAAAAAAAAGAAAAACTTTATTAAGGAGTGAGATCAATAAAGGAGGAATCATGAAGACAGTAGACAATAATTAACTGTGTTTAATTTTTTGAAGATCAAAGTTGGCTGGGAAGCAAAAAGCTGAAAGAGAGTTTGACAGACGAGAAGTGTGAGAAAAAAAACTGTTAAGGAAGAAATCAAAATTCAGACAAAAAAATGATCTAATAAGTAAGGGAGATCCGAATGCTAATACACTGCATTTTATTTCTATTGTTCTGTGTTAGCTTACTTTATGCATTATTACTGTTAATGATTTAAATAGCAGAATTCTCTCTGATTTGTAATGAAAGAAGATTATGTATAAATAAAAATCTTGGAGCATTCTAGTATAAAATATAGCCAAGTTGTTGCATATTTTCCTAAATATTGATGGCATTTTTTCTTATAATATAACTAAACTAATACAGTAAAGATGACTGAAAAATTTAAACTATTTTTAGCCAAAAATATCAGACAAAATCTTTTCTCTCTAAAACATGGCTGACAGATGTAACTTCAGGGATGAAGGGGAATCATGGTTTTGTTGGGAGCAAGATATCCTGCTTTTCTCGATGCCAAAATTCTGACTGATGAATTCCTCAACAAATTCTGGCTTTTGCTCCTAAATTGATTCTTGCAGCAAAATTGGGTTTATGGTAATGGCCGATCATGTTTTCAGATTTCAATCCCATTTTCTCAATTGGCAATCTTCTGTCTCCCTTGAATCAAAATATCTGTCAAGATAGAATTCAGTATGTTCATTTCTACCTTTGGCCTGGTTCACAAGGGAAAACAATCAGCAGAATGACTGAAAGATGATCAGCAAATTCCTTGATAGAAAGACTTTTGACTATATATCATTTACTGTAGCTCACCTATTCAAGTCTGTTTATATCTCAATCTCACACATTTTTATTGTATTTGTCATAGTCTATTTCTTCTTTCCTGCTTGTCTGAGTCAATTCATGTCTATATTTTTCTATCTTGTAATTATTTCAGCTTAAGAAATACAAACAACTTTCTGATTGTTGTCTATCTTTAATCAAACCTCCACAAACTGTTAAAGTTTGATAATATATAGTCATATCTATCCATCAATTTATCTATGTAATTCTGGTAATTATTTTTTGTTATAGCTATCTAACTCAGCCTGTACCTATCTAGCAATCTGCCAGTCAATCCCAGCTTAATTATATATATCTCATTCTGACAGTTTTCTAAGTTTAGCTTATCTCAGCCTAGTTCTATTTATCTACCAATCTAAGAATCATCATACCTACATATCTCAGCCTGCTCATATATAGAAGTCTGTGTATCTGTTTACCTGTCTATTCTAGACTAGTCATATTTATCTCATTCTAGAACTTATTTATGTTTTGTAATTCTCTACCTGACCTTCTATCTCAGCCTAGTCATATCTCCCTATATATCTCAGCCATGTCATATCTATCTATCCATCTATCTAAGCCTTGTCATATCTATCTATCTATGCCTTGTCATATCTATCTATCTATCTATCTAAGCCTCATCATATCTATCTATGCCTTGTCATATCTATCTATCTATGCCTTGTCATATCTATCTATCTATGCCTTGTCATATCTATCTATCTATGCCTTGTCATATCTATCTATCTATCTATCTAAGCCTTGTCATATCTATCTATCTATCTAAGCCTTGTCATATCTATCTATCTATCTATCTAAGCCTTGTCATATCTATCTATCTATCTAAGCCTTGTCATATCTATCTATCTATATATCTATCTAAGCCTTGTCATATCTATCTATCTATCTATCTATCTAAGCCTTGTCATATCTATCTATCTAAGCCTTGTCATATCTATCTATCTATCTAAGCCTTGTCATATCTATCTATCTATCTATCTATCTATCTAAGCCTTGTCATATCTATCTATCTATCTATCTATCTATCTATCTATCTATCTAAGCCTTGTCATATCTATCTATCTATCTATCTATCTAAGCCTTGTCATATCTATCTAAGCTTTATCATTTCTATCAATGCTTTGTAATTCTCTACTTGTCCTCTTATCTCATCCTAGTTGTATTCATCTTAGGCGATCATGTGTCTTTTGATACTTGATCGATGAGGCAGATTTTTCCCACAGTAGGTTGCCATTTCTTTCTACGATAGATCAGTTGCCATTCAAGGCTATAGAATCCGGTCTGTCCTGCTATTTACCCATAACTGGGGGGAGAAGAAGAGGATTCATACCTTTCCCAAGGGTATTAGTACATAAGTGAATGTAATAGATCAAAGTTGAATTCAAACTCGGCTCTTCAATTCCTCAATCTGAGCTGCTATGCATTACTCCTATGTGCATCCACCATATCTCTCTATCTCAGCCTAATCTAGCAATATCTCTCTATCTATCTCAGCCTAATCTAGTCATATCTATCTATCTCAGCCTAATCTAGTCATATCTATCTATCTCAGCCTAATCTAGTCATATCTATCTATCTCAGCCTAATCTAGTCATATCTATCTATCTCAGCCTAATCTAGTCATATCTATCTCAGCCTAATCTAGTCATATCTATCTATCTATCTAAGCCTAATCTAGTCATATCTATCTATCTCAGCCTAATCTAGTCATATCTATCTATCTCAGCCTAATCTAGTCATATCTATCTATCTATCTAAGCCTAATCTAGTCATATCTATCTATCTATCTATCTATCTCAGCCTAATCTAGTCATATCTATCTATCTCAGCCTAATCTAGTCATTATCTATCTATCTCAGCCTAATCTAGTCATTATCTATCTATCTCAGCCTAATCTAGTCATTATCTATCTATCTCAGCCTAATCTAGTCATTATCTATCTATCTCAGCCTAATCTAGTCATTATCTATCTATCTCAGCCTAATCTAGTCATATCTATCTATCTATCTATCTCAGCCTAATCTAGTCATATCTATCTATCTCAGCCTAATCTAGTCATATCTATCTATTTCAGCTTAGTCATATCAACATATCCAACTCAATCTGCTCACTCTATCACAATCTTTTCATATCTATCAAGCAAAAAAAAAAAACAGTTAAAATATCTAATGTTTTTTCCAAGTCATATCTCAGTAAATTGTCTTACCTGTCAAAGGTAATTCATATCTATCTTAGAATAAAGGTGGAGTTATCTAACCACAAGTCTGATGACTGCACACTTGCCTGATTTAGATTGGTTGGCAACAAAGACAGACAATTCACCAGAAAGCATCTGACCTAACCATGTACTTACAGAGTATCTGTCACAGGAAATGGTACTTGCCTTGCTTGTGATGGTTGTATAATCATATTTGCTTTACAACTTTCCAGACCTGATGCTGTCTCATGTTCACTGTCTGTGTGTCCTGGCATAAATTATTGCCCACATAAACACAATTGACATAATTGTATGTCACAAATGGATAAAGAATACTAGTGAGAGAGAGAGAGAGAGGGAGATCGTGGAATTTCACTTCCACAAACAATGCTTGTATCATTTCAGAATTGAATTTGTTTTAATGCTTAACAACGAATTAATTTTTCTTGACAGCATTATTGGAAAGTGCATTAAAAGGCAACAAATTTACCATTAAGATGAAGCATGAGAGAAAAACTAATTTGTACTTGGCGCAGAAGTTTCAATGCACTGCTAGTAAATGTTCAGTGATCAAATTTTGTGGGGGTGGAAGGGAAGGGACAGGAAGTCAAGTACTACAGTGGTTGTCTTCTAAAGAAAATCAAGTGCATTCCATTATGCATTGATTTGTTTTTCAAACAGTTTCCTTTTGGATTTTTTGTCTGTTGTCTTCATCATAACATTTTCACCTTTTATTTTAAATAATGTTCACCTAATGAAAAGCCCAGGAGCCCCTCAAATTAGAGGCTAATTGTATTGGGTTATAGTAAACGAGTAAGAAGCGAATGTAAGAAGTGCAGTTTATGAGGATATGTAGGAAATGTAACCATCATTTTCTCAAATATGCATTGCAAGTAATAGACAAACATTCCACAATAATCAATAGAGTACAACTGTATTATATAGATAAAATTTTATTGGTGGTTCAAAAGTTTATAACGACCATAAGCAGACAAAAACTTATTTTTAATATTACCACACATGATAACAATTAAAAGAAAAAAAAAATGAAAAACAGGTTAGCTAATCAGTTTCAAACCTCATCAACAGAGGTAAATCAAAGTTGATAATTAGATAGATATTATCAATAATATATATATATATATATATATTAGAATTTGACAAAGTTTGTTTATAATCTGATATTATTTCTTATTACATAATGTGGTCATAAAATAAGCACATTCCATTTCTCCTTTCGCTTATAATCACCGATCACATTAAAGTAAATGTTTTTCAGCACTAAAGCTGAATGAGTCAAACAATTCTAAGCTTCAACTTAGAGTTGTTACAACATTATAAATCAAATAACGCATTTCAATGGATACACATATTTGAGTAAATGCTTTGTCTTTTTGTGTGTGTATGTTAATTACATCTACTAGACTGTGCATTTAGATGTACTTTTTGTTAGGGTTTGAACTTGTCCTCCCCACTTACAAGGGAAACCAACTTTTAATTCACAAAGAGCTTCACAGTTCAGGATAGTACACATATATATGCTAAATTTATTGTCATATTTAAAATGTAAATGAGGTAATTTCTTAAGAATTCATAAACTTTTTAATTCAAAATTATTTCTTTTTACTTTAAATGTTATATTTCAGTATATATATATATATATATATATATATATATATATATATATATATATATATATATATATATATATATATGCATACATACATACACACACATCAAGATGGTAAAAACTTAACACATCATTGAAGAATTTGGTGATAAATTTATTTTGACAGAAAATATTTTTATTTCTTTATGGATCTGTCTTTTTAATATTTTATATAAAAAAACTACTTGGTTTATCCTTTCCACTTACAGATTTTGATATATATATATATATATATATATATATATATCCACACAAACACACACAAAGTTAGGATTGGACCGTTCCAGCCCAGATATGGTAGCAATGCTCTTTTTTGGAACTGATCTGACTCTTGCAAAGATAGGTAATATCAAGAGGAGTCAGGTACTTTCTAGAGGTATTATAATGGGATAGAGATATGTAAGAAAGGTTTATTCTCCCATTATGGGCATCATTATATCTGTGATATAATAACACCATACTTCACAGAATAGCTAAATGGAAAAGGAATGATAAACATGCTTTCTTCTCAGAGATTGTTTTATAATGCTTATATATATATATATATATATATATATATATATATATACACACACACACACACACACACACAAATATATACATGTGTTCCATGCAGAGAAATTATAACACATGAAACAACAGTGTGAAAAAAAAAGATGGAACCTTACTTGGAATATTTCCCAAAGGGAAAACTAGTTATAGCCATTTCTCTATGAACCTCTAAGGCCAACCAATATGGATGGCCATCCTCTCCAGTCCCTACATTGCAACTGCCCTTTGTCATTCTATCCCTTGACTTCATGTAACTATGTCAATGAAAGGGAGACAATTAAATTTTGTATCCTTATAGAATACTGAATTCTTTAGTTTAATAAATGAAGATATGTTGTTTTTATTCCTATGCCATTTTTTTTTTTTTTTAAATTGCCGTCACCCCATGGAAGGAAGTAAAGCCACTAAAACACAAGGGGTAACAGGATGTGGAAGAAGAATTAGGGACAGAAACATTAATAATAATCAAAAAGAGAAAAGAGTAATCAGGAGGACAGTAGATAGCAATTGATATTGCATCTAATTTTTGCAGATTAAAGCTGACCGGAAAGCATGGAGCCAGAAGGGAGTTCCACAAGTGAGAAGTGTGAGAAATTAGCATAGAACTTATGGCTAAGTCTAGCCAACTCAACTGTAAACTGATGAGATCTCAATGTCAGTCTAGTAATGCACTTAAATTCAAAAAGTTTATGTACCATAGCAAAGAGCTCATCTGATCATTTACCATGAAAGTATTTATAGAAAAGACATAGAAAGGCAGCTTTATGGTGGTGGGAAAGTGACTGAAGCCGAGCTGCTAGATCAGGACCAATAATATTGCTGACTTTTCTGATCTTATTAAGGAGCTCAAGATAAATAGCAGGGACACCAGACCATATGTGGCAGCAATATTCAAAGTACAGATGAATGGTAGACTTAAGTTATGTAAGATAGATTCCAGAGAGAAAGATTTTCTTGTCTGACACAGTGAACTGACTTTTTTAGCAGCTGATTTAGCAATGAATTCAATATAGTATTTCCACTTCATGTTAGCTGGGAAAATGATCCTATGAAGGTGCATTGAGTCACTTTCCTGGAGGTTAGCATCAGCCATGCTGATGGAAAGCAGTCAAAGGTCTCTCAGATGATTAAGTTTAATTTTAGAGGCATTAAAATTAACAAGTCATCTTTTGCTCCAGTTAAAGACAGACTTGTGGTTGTTTTTGACATCGGCTTCCATTTTCACCTTGTCATGCTTATCAGCTTCACTATGAAGGTAGGAGTAAATGTTCTCTGCATCTAGTTTACTTCTTAATAAATTTCTTATGATGCCAGTCTACTTAGCCACACAGATAATGTATGGTTATGCACTTGCTAACCCTGGGATTAAATTCTTGACTTCTGAAAGGAAGAATACATTTCGAAATCCATAAATCTAATGATGGAAAAAGCATTTATTTCATACAAAAATATTTATTTTCTGACATAATCTGATTTAACTTAACCCCACACATCTCTGTGATTCATACAGATGAAATAAAATACAAGAAAATGTTCAGATCAAAATTCTACTAATAACTGTGTCTGTCTACAAACTCTTAACAGTCCATTGCTTTTCATCCCCTTCACACTGAATTAAAATTGTTTAGCAAAGTTTTCACATGAAACATCAGCCAAATTCCCATGACATCTTGTAAAAATCTTTAAAAATACCTTTGATTGGTAAGCCAAGTTAAAAAAATTAAGAACATGACAGATGAGAAAGAAACACAACTCCCAAACCAATTAGTCATCATTTGCCGAATTATCAAGCGCAGATACTTATATATCTATATTACACTTATTATAATACTATTATATATAATAGGCTTAATACCATATCATGTTGTTCCTGTATGATCACAGAGGTTAAGCAATGTTGAGCCTGGTCAGTACCTAAATGAGTGACTGTTTGGGAATGACAGGTGTTCTAAGCTTGGATGCAATGATAGTATCATCAATAATGGTTTGGAATTGTTAATCAGAGAGTCAAGTTCCAGGTCTTGTTTGTTTTGTTATATTCACTTACATGCAAATACCTTTGGGAAAGGTATGAATTCACCTCCGCTCCCTCCAGCTATGGGTTAATTAGTAGGACTTTTATCGCTAAACCATGATTATCTCCAAAAAATAAAAATTATAACTATCTAAAGATTTTTGGCTTCAAATAACCTGCAAAGTGTTGATAAGCTATAGAAAAATGTTATGGTAATTTGCCCATGCACGCATGGACTTTGCCAGCTATAAATAGGAGCAGGTACCGCCTTTTGGAGAGGGAAGTTTCCAGCAGTCAGTTCTGATGTCGGACCAAACATTCTTGCTGTAACACTCTTGTTTGTATATGTTTGTATTACTGTTTATGTTAAAATATTTGTTTAACTCACTTCCTCTCTTGTGTCTTTATTTCTGGTCCTAACAAGGCCACAACAAAAACTAATCAATCAATATTATATATAATATAGATATAATTATATTATACTTAAATATCTATATTATGCTTAGTTTATTATTATTATAACAACAATGTTATATATAATATAAATATTATATATTTATATCACTTACAGACTGAACATGTGAGCAAC